AGTGACGGACACCGTCTCGAACACTATCTACATAATTGTGAACACCTGAGAGAAATCAGAATTATGTGTAGAATAATAAAGCCCACATTGTTTGAGTTAGGAAAACACTATTTGTCAAATATTGATACTGTTCTTAAAAGATTCCCCCATTTTGCACCCGCAAGATAACGTAAGCTTTTATGGGTTGATAGATGTTAATCTTCTTGTTTGAGAAGCTGTTCACTTGAGACAGTTAAGCAAGTCCCAGCTGTGTCTGGGTACAAGTGACAAGATGAACAACCCAGCGGGTTTTCTTCCTATTGGGGAGTGTTGTACATGCTGCTATGGCGGTATGTCCACTCACAAGATGAGTGGTGCTGCCCAATAAACTCGCCCCTTGGGATAAAATTTAATTTTAAATTTGAAGTACTGTAGGAAGTGACTCCTGATTACATGAGAAGGTTATTGTGGTTAACTGTGTCAAATGTGTTATGCAGGTCAACAAACAGACCTATGGGGTACTCATTTTTGTCAAGTCAAACACATTAATTAGAGTATCAAAAGACCTTCAAATATTTTGAAAAAGGCGGGCAGGATTGATATGGGTCTAAAGTTTATTATTTCAGTGAGATGACCATGTTTATGGACTGGGATTGGTCTAGTCTTTCTAAGAATATCAGGGAAGATTAGAGTTTAAGTGATTTATTGTAATGTTAGGATAAAAGATAGAAGAAAAAGAGGTGATATGATCACTACATTCACAAAAGTAACAGGAATTGACAAAATTGATAAAGAAGAATTCTTGAGACCTGCATCTTCAAGAACAAGAGGTCACAGACTCAAGCTAAGGAAACAAAGATGGCCCCCCCTCCCCCCCCCAAAATTAAGAAGTTATCTTTTGTAAACAGAGTGGTAGACGGTTGGAACATGGTAAGTGAAAAGTTGGTAGAGGCCAAAACCATCTGTAGTCTCAAAGCATCATATAGCAATAGAGTATATACAAGAGTTTTTACATTCTTGTAAAGCCACTAGTACGCGTAGCGTTTCGGGCAGGTCCTTAACCCTAATTTCCCTGGAATACGACCCCGCCGAAACGTTTAACAACCAGGCACCCATTCACTGCTGGGTGAACAGAGGCTACAGTTAAGGATTGGCGCCCGGTCAATCTTCCCCGGCCAGGATTCGAACCCAAGGAAAGGCGCTTGCGAAACGCCAGGCGAGTATCTTACCACTGCGCCACGGAGACTGCTGGGAAGATGGGACACCGCAAGCATAGCTCTCATCCTTTAACTACACTTGGGCAAGTATAACTATTTTCTAAAGGAACGAGTGTACAGGCATCTGTAATTTCTATAAAATACGATATTATAAAATAAAGAACATCATAATTGTTGTATTAAATTAGCTGGAACTCTATACCTACACTTCACTTCTCAACTTTGCCGTTTTGAGCTACATTTAATATAGAAAGCCCTCCATTTCAATTTATGTTTCTTATATCAGTTTAAAACTGCATGAACTGAATAAAGAAAAAACAACAAGCGTTCAATGTAATGAAACGCCATTTTCTGGGTAAAACCTGGAGGCTTCCCGGAGCTATCCAGGCTGATATGGATATATTAGATTTCTGGCATCAGTCAATGTGCATGGAGTTCTTGCCTACCGGGGACCGAGCCAGAACCTAGCCCCCTCACAGAGGCATGAGGAGCAATGGCCTATAGAAACCCCCAGTGAGGTTGGAAGCATTCTATGTCTGCCATTGACCGGGTCAGGTACCCGATCAATGGCGACAAGGGGCAAGATAAGTGCCCTAAAACAAACCCCTATTCTGGTTAAGAAATTACTACTGAAAACTGAACTAGTGGACTGAACTCCCCAAACGAAAACGAGTAAATGAGCATGTACAAACAGAAGTACACCTACGAAGGAACAAGAAATAACGGAAGGACTGCCAGGAAACTTCATACCACCACCGAGATGAAGAATGCAGGTGGGACTCCATCAACGAAGCCATCTGCTCACCACACATGTGGTGATAAACTCGAGTCAGAAAGACCAAACGTGAAAACTCGAGGAGAAAATCGAACCAGCCACATAACGGACCGGACTGATCTGCTGAAAGAGGCAGAACCTGCGGGAAGGCCCTCAGGTTCAGACACCGAGCAAGCGACGCCTGAAACCAAGGCTTAGCCGGCCACCAAAGAGCCAAGAAGACTACTCTCCCCTGGTAAGTCTCCAAGCGAGCTAGGACCTGGAGCAACAGCAGTTTGGGTGGAAGAGGTACAGGTAACCCCACCTGTACATGAATGTAAAAATACCAATCTTATGCAATCTCACCAACCTATTAAACCTTTTTGCAAATAAAAATTATTATTATTATAATTATTATTATTATTATGGCAGCACTGTAGTCCTGCCTCAAGGCATTGACCCTGATGGCCTCACAGTTGGGGAAGGGCACTACTTATACCGGAGATGCCTCGACCACGCCGATGCAAAAAGGTCCACCTCTGGGAGCTTGTACGTTCGACAGAGCCAACTGAAGGAGCCGGGGTCGACTGTCCATCCCGTGGAATGAACGGAATGAATGGGAATGAACCGCAACAGGCTGTCTGCCAAGACGTTGGACACCCCCGAACGTGAACGGCCAGGAGAGCCAAACCCCAAGAACTCAGCAGACAAGTCCCCCAAAGTGACCAGTCCCCAAGAGTCAAGAACTGCATCGAATCCCCTCGGTTCACGCAATGAACTACCGGGGAGCAGTGCGAATTAAGCCGGATCGTCGATCAGTGACCCGAACCCTCCAAAGCGACATCCACACAGCTGCGAACTCCCACACTGCGTTGTGCGCCCGACGGAAGAACGGACCCCACCGTCCCTGGCCAGCCTGGTGAGCACTGATTATAAAGCCCTAGCTAAGAGACGATGCACCTGTGAACAAATCTAGTGAGGGCTCAGGTAGGCACCAAGGAACTGAACCCCGAAAAAGCCAGAGGAAGTCGGCGACGCAGCAGCCGACACAAGGCCCCTGGGGGTCGAACCCAGCAATCACTAGAGAGGTGGAAGGATGTCCCTGAAGGAACCAGAACAACCGACAAAGCCAAACCCGACCCGGCAGGGAGATCATCATCACAAGTTTCAGGCTCCCGCACAGAACTTCGAGCAACCGTCGGGTGACCCGGGAGCCCCTCAGAAACAAGCACATGCGGGACTGCAGCCAAAGGAGAGACTCAGATGGGAGAGACAAGGAAGAGGTCCAAGAGTCATACACAAGACCCAGCCAGGTCCGAACCTGGGAGGGAACCAGATGAGACTTAATTCTGCCAGTTCACCAGGAACCCGAACCCGGCTAGATGGAAAAGCACCAAACCCCTGGCGAGCAGGAGCTCTGGGAGCTCCAAACCAGCCAGTCGTCGAGGTAAGCCAACACCTGAACACCTAACAGATGCAGACGGGTCATGACGACCCGGGAAATACGTGTGAACACACAAGGTGCCAGGTTCACACCGAAAGGGGGACAATGAAAGCAGTAACTCTGATGCCCCACAAAAAAAAAACGAACCAGTCCCTGAACCGCGGATGAATCGGGACATGCCAAATACACATCCCTGAGGTCCAGGGACACCATCCAAGTGCCCAAGCCGGACCTAGGACAGAGTGGTCATCCAAAAAGAGGGTCAGGAAACCCATGGGTTCAGACGGGACAAGTCCAGAATGTACCGCAGATCCACACAGTCCCGTTTTGGAACTGGAAACAGGCGGAAATCCCACTAGAGAGACGGAGTCATTTCGCTGTCACGCCCAAGCATACCCACTCCAAGACGACCTAACAGAACGCAGGAGAAGAGGCCTGCCCTGACAGCCCCGAACCCCCCAAAGGAGGAGCAGTCACCCAACGCCACTGTAAGCTGCGAGAAACGACCCGAAAAGCCCATGAATCATGAGACCAGGCATGAGCAAACAGAGCAAGCCTCCCCCCCCCCATCAACCCGTCAATGGGGCGAACCGCAAAAGGGCCGATGCCCCTTACAAGAACCAGACCTGCACACAGAGCACCGCGCCGACCAGGTGCAGCCGGGATCAAAGGTGGCACCGGTTCCGAAACCGGCACCTGTGGCCTACCCCGACGAGCGGAACGCGAGCCCTGGCACAACCCCTCCGGGAAGAACCCACCCGGGACCCCTGGAGAACCAACAAGTCAGACATTGGGAGGCAGCCAGAAGAAGCCGCTTGCATATGCCGTTCGACCGCAGAGGCCGCAAACAGCAAAGGACAAAAGGGCGAAGACAACCTAAGAGCCAGGGCCCAAGTGGACTCCAAGGACGAAGCGAGCACCACCTGTCGACACGCGAGATGCACCACGAAAAACCACAACAGAGCATCCCGCAAGATTGGCGCAAACAGCTTCAAAAGTGCAGACGACGCATGAGCAGCCAAGATCAAGGCGCCAGACCCAGGAACGGCCCCAAGCGCCTCCACATCCTCCTGAAGCCAATTCGAAGACAGCTCCAGGTGGGGAAAAAAAAAAAGATACCCAGGACCGAAGCCAACAAGCTACGCACATGCAAGTCCTCAGCCACAACTGCAGCCGACAGGGAAGGAACTGGCATGTGAAGCTGAACCACGCCAACAGCCTGCAGAAGGGCAAGAGCGAAAAGGCACTTTTGTTGCCTTCCAATCGTGGGAATGTTGCCCATGATTTTTTTTTTTTAAATAGCGTCTGTTTACAAGAGCCCTGAGGAAGCTGATATGAACCCCACGTAGCTGCAAGCCGTTTAAATCTTGCGTGGTACCCGAAAACGTCATATGAAGTGGTGCACACTTTGGCATCAGTTACTCAACACGTCATATGAATTGTTGTGCAGTTTTAAGGGTTAAATTTGTAACAAGTTAATAATACATTCAGTTAATGGTAAGTTGAGAGTAATACTATACATCAGCCTTAATACAATAAGGTATTTAACCTTTCAGCACTTGAGTCCAGACCTGTATTTGATGTTTCACTACAATAAAAAACAATAATTGGGTAAAATTTTATTAAGAAATACAGATGCTGTTTTATTAAAAAATATTTTAACATTTATTGATTTCTTAATCATAGAATTCATAAAATTGTATTGAAAAATATAATCAAACAAAAATTAATAATTACTTTAGGAATCTTGACAATTGTTTGATTTAACCATTGCATAATAATATACTGGTTAAATAAATGACATTTGTTGTTAGAGGTGTCTTCGTCGCATGATGTTTAAGGCATTCGTGATATTAGCACCCGCCCCACGTCAGCCTGGCCACATGATCAGTTTTGCGACTAGTTGCTTTAACAAAGCCTAAAAACTGCATTTCAGACACAGCCTGAACAAACCGTGCTCTGGTAAGCTGTTAAGGAAAACAATGGCTCATAAGCTCAATTAAAATTTATCTTTACTTAATACTTAAAATAAATAAATAAATAAATTATATATATATTATATAGAAGTGAGTACCACCTCTGGCTGGAAGAAGGGGGACCCTTAGCCTCAGAGGAAAGCACACACAACGCATTAGAAGGAATGTTTATATATATATTTTTTGTTCCACTCTTCCCATCCAAAATATGGGTTGTCTGCTTCTACCACACGATCCCTTCATTTCACCTGTGCATGTACACTCTTCTCATCACACGTAACAATGCAGTCTACAGTCATGTCTATACTTTCTCAATGGATTGTGCTTCAGGCACTCTACAACAACACATTACATTCCCTCATCTCTTTTACTTGTATAATTCCTCATTGCTATACCCATTCCACACACCTATACCAGCTACAGTGATAAAAGTACTCATTTAAGGTAAGGAAATTATCAGGAAAAAGTGCTAAGCCAGTATAACTATATAGCACTTGGATGGGATATGAGGACAAGGAGGTGCAATAGGATAGGGGAAGGAATGATGCCCAACCACTTAAGACAGTTGGGGCACCAATACTGAAGTGCAAGTAGTGAGGTGTTGATCTACCAACCAGTGCAAGTAGTTGAGCACTCATTTAAACCACTGGTATTTTTTGAGCCCTTCCACACTAACATAACTTCTCTTCATTATACTATTCACCTCTCCTACCACTCTTCTCATCCATAAAGGCAGTATACAGCTCCTCTGTGAGGAGCCCCCCACTCCCCCCTTGGTGGCTTCCTGAAGCTATCTCACTCACTTCTCTGTCGCTCCTACTTCACCATCTAAACTCTCATTTTATCTAATACTGCCCACAAGTCTATAGAGCTTACTACCTCTTCTAGTACCTCTTGCCAAATTTTTATCCTATAGTTGACTACTGTACTACAGTTCACTACTTTGCAACTATAAGGCTCCACAAAATCCATGTTAATACAGTATCTATTTTTTCAAACAGAATACCCTTACTCAATCCACTTACTCAACAGTTCTTTATAACCACCCATAATGCTTCCTGATTATTCCAATCATATACATTTTTTTAAATCCATAAAGGCAGTATACAGCTCTTCTGTGAGGAGCCCCCCCCCTCCCTTGATGGCTTCCTGAAGCTATCTTGCTGAGATGACTCCCCACTACTGGGTCACACGAGTCCATTTGCCCTACCAGATACCAGAGCCAGAACCTGGCCCCTTCACAGGGGTGCAGAGAGCTGGGAAGTATTCTCGTCACCTCACCGGAAAAGTATCCATAAAGTCAGAGTGAAGCTTTACAGACAATTGCAAGATTCATAGCACACAAGGCAATGAGACTGCCAAACGACTCAGCAATCTATTCAGGAGAAACAGTGAACCACTCAGACTAGAGTGGCAAGCGACATATAATAGAGTAAACCCATCACAGGTACCGCTAGTCTGTTACGTACCCTTATAAGATACGTAAGTGAATATATTAATATGTACATTTATAATTGTATGTAAATTACAAGCATGTATATTGTATACTTATATGTTCTATGCAAATGCACATTCATGTTACAGTGTTGGCGTTAGGCCCAGCGTATCGTGGGAATGATTGTTTATTTCTTTGTGTGATCAGTTTTCCCACGGGAACTAATGATTTATATGTGATCATAAGTGGGTAACAGAGTGAAATAATAATTGAGTGAACTGTATCTGGCAAATTGTCGTGGGATCGTCCGTTGCTGGGTGTGCATGCCATTATGCTATTCTGTATGCATATTTTAATTACTATGTAAAGAAACAATTACTTTTGTTTGTCTATATCAATATGTACTAATTATTCATTAAGTTAGTTTAAGATTACTCTTGTCACAATGTAGTGCTCCATTGTTGAAATAATAAATATTGTAACTTTGGCAATTTATTCGCGGGGCAAGGCAATGTGTTTTTTGACTCGCATATTGTAGTTCAGTAGCTGAGCAGAAACCAGGGAGATATCATCTTGGAAGTCATTCTTTTGTTCTAGCCATATAATTATTCTTAGTATTGATTTAATGTCTGGAAGTTACAGTGATATTTTTAATGTGATATATTGTGACCATATAATCATCTGTTTGCCTTTGAGATTTATTTAATATAAATAGTATATATCTATACTTAGTATCTTTATTCTTCAGTCCTATGAAGATTCTATTTTATGCTCATTACCCATTAAGGGGTTATACTGGTGATTCGCTATTGAGAACAGCAGTTGTGTCGTATCCCTAGACTTATTAAAGTTTGGCTGCTGTAGGATCACGAGCCGTAACGTACGATAGGTAACAAAGAGTTATGGGGGCCTGTGCCGGGAAATATTGTCCCACTTTTAACTTAACTATGCTAATCTAACCTTGCCTTCCTAGGTACCAGTGTGTCAAGTGTCTCTGTGTGTTTCTTAAGAACTATTCCATGTGCCAAGCAAGCCTTCCTGTGTGTCAAGTAACAACGTTTCACGATTTTGAGGTAAGTCATCCTATATATTTTGTTTGTGCAGTGAGGCCAAGCGAATTTTCAGTGTGGTGACAATTTTACAGTGAAGTGTAGTGCAGTGCCATTATTTTAATTATTGTTGTGAATCAAGTGCCAAGTGTTAGTAACGATGGAAGAGAAAGTTGCAGCGTTGGTGGCTCACCCAGACTTTGAAGGGATTCAGAACCTTAAAAAGACTGAGTTAATACAAATGGCAAATCATTTGGATTTGACCGCCAGCAATAGAATGGTTAAAGCCCAAATATTGAAAGTCATTGTGACGCATTTTGTTGAGAATGGGGATTTAGATGAAGAAATTCTAGAAGAGTTAAGAGAGGAGTCGAGTGATCAGATGACGTTAAAGCGTCTTGAGTTAGAAGCGCAAATAGCCCATGCTAAGCTTGAAGCTCAAAAGGAACAGAAAATATTAGAGGCTGAAGCTCAGCAAAGGGAGCTGGAGACTAGGCGTTTAGAAATTGCGGCACAAAACCAGAGAGGTTTAATTGAGTTGCAACTTGAAGCCACAAAGAAGCAACAAGCCGAGGAACAAACTAGGCAATTAGAGATTCAACAACAAATGGCTGACACTAACTTCAGGCTTGAATCACAGCGTATGGCAGCTGGGCATGGAAATACTAGTAATGTTTCAACAAATAGTGATAATAATCCCATCAGGATGAATAAGTATATAGAGTTGCCCAAGTTCAATGAGGAAGATCCTGAGGTTTTCTTTGCACATTTTAATAAAATTGCCATCAGTATGAACTGGCCAAGGGATCAGTGGGTAGCCATTATGCAGTCTCAATTCAAGGGGCGTAGTCAGGAGGTTTTCACATCCCTCCCTGACGCTCATAGTTTTGATTATGACTTTGTAAAGAAAAGCATCCTCAATGCATACCAGCTAAATCCAGAGGCACACAGGCAAAAGTTCAGGAACCTAAGGAGAATCAAGGATCAAACAATAGCAGATTTTACTCGTCAGAAGACGAATTTTTGCAACAGATGGTTAAAGTCACTTGCAGTCACTGATTTTGATGCTCTAAAGAATCTTCTCATAATGGAAGAAGTATTGTCCTGTCTTCCAGACCAGTTGTCTACTTTTATGGCAGAACAAAAGAATGTAACCGATATTGATGAGCTGTCAAAGCTCGCGGATGAGCATGAGTTGCTGACTAAGGCCCCGTTTACGGCCACTTCACCTAAGTCTAGTCGTAGAGTAAATTTCAATGCTCACCGTACTCCTTATCAGTATAAGTCTCCTCCTGGTGCGACAGTTACTCCCGTGAACTCTTCTCTTACTAACCCTAAGATGGTTACTCCATTGCCAGGATCATCTAAGCCTAGTAATGCTAATTCTAAACCGGCAGTTGGTTATACCAGTGTGTCCACTGTCAAACATTGTACCCATTGTAAGAGAAGGGGGCATGTGATTTCTTCATGTTTTAGTTTGCATCCTGAACTCCGACCAACTGGTCTTATTATGAGTAAAGGAGTGCAACCTATTAATTCTTCATGTATTACAGTCAGTCCCAATTGGATGGCTGAATTCAAACCCTATATGTCCACAGGTACCTTATTATGTACTAATGGTAGACATAAGACTGTTCAATTACTCCGTGATACTGGAGCTTCACAGTCTCTTATTACCCAGAAGGTACTTGATGATGTTGACACCCGAGATCTGGGTGAAGTTGTGCTTCTCCAGGGTATTGCCGGAAGTGTGCAACCAGTGTCCTTATTGCAAGTTAACCTTGATTCTAAATATACTTCAGGATGGTGTAATGTTGGTGTAAGTAAACAACTGCCCATTCCTGGGGTAGACATTATTCTAGGTAATGATTTTGGCAACCAAATGGTTGTAGGGCCCAAGTGTCCCATCATGTTAACTAAACCCCATAATGTATTAGCTCAACCGGAAGCAGATGATGATATTATTTACCCTGCTTGTGTTGTTACTAGATCAATGGGAAAAACAGGTGAGAGTAATCCTGTCTTCACTAAGGTTGCTGATCCCAAGACCAGGACCCCTTCAGTAAAGGAGTGGGAGGTGGATCTTGAGGATTCTTTTATGACTCGACTGGATGATGAGAGTGAGGCCGTAGTAGAAGCCCCGCCGAACCTAAATCACAAGGAAAGTGAAGGTGAGGAGGCTGAACTATCTGTACCTTGCCCGCTTGTCTCCAGTGCGCCAGTTGTCGAGAGTGAGGCCGAAGTAGCTATGACTCCATTTTATTCTGATCAATCGGGAAAAGAGATCAAGCTACTAGGTTCTTGCCCGCTCGCTGCTGAGTCTGAGTCATTGCCCTTAAGTGTTGTACAGACTACTGATCCTAGTTTAAGTAAGTGTATTTCTGAGGCTCCTGATAATATTGATGCATTGGAGGAAGGGACGGGTTTCTTCTTCAAGGATCGACTTCTGATGAGAAGGTGGAGACCCAAGGGAACTCCCTCTTCAGAGGATTGTGAGAT